CTTTTTTGCAAAAGCTATGTCACGTTCACATCTAACATCTTATAATCACAAAGGAAATTAAGTGAATAGGTGCGTGATCATGATGAGGTAACCATAGAAACACAGGTACATTGTCCCCTCATTGCTTGCTGGTTTATTTAAAGCTACTTTGTGAAATAAGATGTCCTGATGAGCAGAAAATGTTGATCATGAGCCTCAGGAAGCTAAACTAAATATTACATGAGCCATTTTGATTTCTATTTATTTTATACAAAGTCTGAATGATTAAAAAAAAATTAGGATGTTAAACTCTGTTTTGCATGATTTTGTAATTGTGTTGTGTAAAACATTACTTAAACATTCAAATTAACTAGTCAATTTTATTTTACTTATATTTTTATAATTCAGAATTTTTGACATATACAGTGTGTGTAGTTGTGTATCTATATCTATCTTATACATCAGAAATAATTGCTATACATAAAATGTTCTCCCTTTGTGTATTTTTAAATTGGTTTTGACAACTTTCCCACTGGGAAAAGTGCTGGTGCTCCCTGCGGCCAGTCCATTCCTGCTTTGGTGTAACAACTCAAAATTCAGTATAAAAAGTGGAGCTGGGCCTCCGTGACTGAGCTTATTACCAAACTACAGATAATGCTCTTATTAAGCGGTGCGTATAGTTACCATTTAGCCTGTGAAAGCCTTACACATGCCCTGGCATTCTAAACTCCAGAGACGCCCTCAATTGGATGCAGTAATTGTGCTTTTCATTCTTAATGATCTGCAAACTATATAGTGCAGAGGCTTTTTTTCATTCCCCCTTCAGAAAGTTTGTCCAAAGCTGTCCAAGTTAACTGCCTGAGGATATGTGTAATTGGGAAGTTCAAACTACAAATCTGAAGTCTTTCTGCAAAATGGATAGGATTTCTCAGACATGCAGCACGGCCTCCTACATTCTAGATTAGCCACAGCTGTATTAGAATATTTACAAAATTATTAAATATGTAGAAGGTTTTTTATATAATAGCAGAAACTGTTTAAAAAATAAACACTGTCACTATGCAATTATGTTGCATATGTATGCATGTCGTATAAGCGAGTGTGAGATGCTTTTTTATTATTTAATTTTATATATCGCTAAGTGGGGTTTATATAGCTTATATGACCTTGAATGCGGTTCATTCACTATTAAGTGGGTTTGTGGTAGGTACTGTACCTTTAGCATTCAGTCCGTAACCACAGAATTCTGTAACTGGTCTTCCTTTTTGAACTAGGAAATCCTCCAAATTTCACAAAGTTTTGAGCTGTACCTCCATTCCTTTAATGAGGAACAAGTTGTCAGTGAGAGCCAGGAGCTATTCATTTCACAAATGTCAAACCACTTCCTTCATCAGCATGATCTGCCCAAACTCAAAGCTATTCACATAAAACCACTTTAAAATGAGAATAGTGAAACAGCTCAAACCATTCCCTTCAACAACTATTAACAACAGTAGGGTCAAAATCAAAACAGGCCTTCAGAAAGATTGGTAGGTCTAGAATATAACCCTATAAATGTTCAGAATGGAATACTAGCTTAGAATTAGCAGTATAATAATGCCTCTTATTCTTATAAAAATCATGCATCTAATTACTTGAAATTTATTTACTAAACTTGAAATAGGTTAAGCACACTGCAGTACAATTTGTATGTTGTGCACAGTATACATACTACGTGAGATTTAGCGTCTTCTAATTAAAATACTTATAATTTTCATATTTTACTGTTGCATTTGCCTCAAATCACCAACTCTCATTTAAAAAAAAATAATTACTGTAGGTGTGTCATTATTCACAGGTATTCAGTATTCTACGCCATTGTGTAGCTTAAATAGCGATTTGTTAAAAAATATATATATAAAAAAATAAAAACACTTTAATTACCCAAGACCAGTGATTAAAGAGGTAATTCAATGCTGACAAGTTTTTTTTAATAAACAATTGGCTATCTCTGCAGTAGAAATGCATAGAACTTTGGATTTAGCAGTAGAGTATGAACAAAAGCAACCAACGGCACAGAAACTCGGTAATCAAAGTGTGAACGCCCAATGAGTCATAATGGCAAGTTACCATGACACAGCTTCAAGAGATGCATTTTTACAAAATGAGTTCAATATTAGATTCATGGCATTGTTACAACCACATAATGCAATATGCCATTTTTCAGTGCTACATGACTACAGAAAACAGAGAAAAAGGGCTGTGGCAATAAAAGGTAGGGAAACGTCTATACCCATAATGCACTGGGCCTGATCTGTGATTGGGGATTAAAAATGCTGAAGAATTCACAAGTTTTCACAAAAGCCCTGAAGCTGTCAAAAGTCAACCTGATGATGCATTTTATGTCATTGCGTAGAATTTTACTTACAAATAAATAATACACATAGTTATACTACCAGCAATGCAACAACACCAAGCTTGTTGAAAATCATCTAATTTGCTCTTTAATTAACTAAACAAACGATGTGTGTAATTCTAGACACGAAAGTCATTCACACTAGACTTTGAGCATGCAAAATTGAACTTCCGAATGCAGCAAAATTCGCATAAGCTTGTGTTTCCTGTCCAAATTCCCATGTATATTAATGGAAGTGTAGTGTGACTGGCCCTTTAATACATTCAACTGTTCCTGAACTCTGAAGCCAAATGACAAAATAATACTATAAAGGTCATGCACAACACAGTAGCGTACATAATGCATAATATAAGTGCATAGTGTGTCATTTGGGACACAACTTCTGACTTTCTCACTGCACATTAAGCACATAAGTGCTAACTTTTCTTAATATACATTTTTTTGTGAGAGCTGGAAATCTGAGACAATGAACAATAGTGACTGCTCTCCATGCATAGATTGCAAAATCGGAGCGCAGATAGTGATCCACCGCCTGATAATTTTAGATTTAGCAGTAGAGTATGAACAAAAGCAACCAACAGCACAGAAACTCAGTAATCAAAGTGTGAACGCCCAATGAGTCATAATGGCAAGTTACCATGACACAGCTTCAAGAGATGCATTATTACAAAATTAGCTCAATATTAGATTCATGGCATTGTTACAACCACATAAAATAGAGTTAACACGAGGCAGTAGTTTGTAATCCTTTAAAACAAGCAAAGCTTTTCGTGTTTCAGCATATTGTTGATGTCTCATTCCCAGGGGCTTCCCTTAACACTTCATCTGTCTCTGTCTCCTTAGAAATGGAAACATATCCTCTATATAAAAAAAAAAGACTGCGACTTTCAAGACACATTTTAATATCTATAAAAAGCTATAAAAACATTGTAGAAATTCAGTATCTTTACATGCTCTTGAACTGAAAAAAATAATAATAATAAAAAGAATAAATCTGTTAGCCAAACATAGGCAGTTTCAAAATAAGACTTGCATTAGATCTCATACAAATACACACCACATATACTGCAGAAGCTATCATTTGGATTTCTACAAGCTATCTGATGCCACAGAGCTAATGACTGTCAGATTCACAAGTTTAAATTGTTCTTTAAAGTGGTTGTTTTTAATGAATCAATAGAACCGATTTGCAAATTGGCCTGCATCAATCTCATGCGTTATCAATCGGTCAGATTACTGAGTTAATAACACTCTCACTGTCTGAATCGAAAGTCATCACTTCTGGCAACACCAAACTGATCCCAAGAGAAAAGAAGATTGCTCTCTTAATAATAATTGATTGGTATCAAATAATAAATCAAAACAGGCCTTCAGAAAGATTGGTAGGTCTAGAATATAACCCTATAAATGTTCAGAATGGAATACTAGCTTAGAATTAGCAGTATAACAATGGGGACAACAAAGCAGTACAACTTAAAAATACCCAAACTTAATGAGGACACTGCACAACCACCAACCAAAAACCTTTCAAATGCCATACAGTTCTCTAACCTTAGTATGTTATGGCTTCCCCCAGTTTTTTGATAGTTGCAAAAGTTCTCTGTTTGATTTACAACAATCACATATTAATAGCTATTTTTCTTATTTTCTTGTAACAATCAATAACCCACATACACACTAAGATATTAAGTAAAATATGAAGTATTAATGTTAAAAACACAATTGGGTTGTTCTATAATTGCAGTGACATTTCCATCCGTTTTTTTCTTGTTGAAAATGAATCTCATTAATAATATATTACACCTACTGTGCAATATTCAGTATCTTCTTTCTCATTTTATACAAGGTCATGCTAACTGTATAGGCGTAGGATTAAATATGTATGCTTTACCATAGGTTGCTATTTTGTTGATGTCTTACACCTAATAGCTACTAGCTAATAACATGCTGACATGATCTCATGTCAAAGAAATCATCAACACCACTGTTGGCATCACTGCCATTTCACAATTAAAATTAAAAACATATATATTTAGACAAACACATGTATAGAAACTTACAGTTTGCTCAGTAGATACTCCCTCACCACACATGACCTTTCCCTTCAGGAAGTACTTCTCATAAAAGTCCTTTATATATATATTATATTAAATTATTCAATTTTAACATAGAACATTTTTTGCTACTTATAATACATAATTCAATGAATAACTTGTTTTAACTATGCTCATAGGTAGATGCAAACTAAGTAAAAGGCAATTCTTTCAAACATTACGTAACAAAATGTTTCTCAATAGGCCACAAGCAAGGTTTAAAAATAAGAACAATTCACAGTTGTTGCTTTCCAAATGCCACATGCAAGGATTGCTGAGGATAAACCAGAGGCCCTGCCAGTGTATGTCTGTGAACTGCAAACAAGACTTCCCGCTATAAAGGTGTAAACTTCCTGTTTATAGTCCATTGTGAGATTACTTAAATCTAATCATGCAAAATCGAGGGTAGAACAAACATTGTTAATGTAACATATTACATGATCTCTGGGAATTCATATTTGGCTCCTTTCGACATTCGGTCAGTTTGAGTAGGCATATATTTCTAATTTCCATGCTGTTGTAGATGTGAGGGTAAGGATTTTATATGATTTTTATATGATTATATGACTTTTAAATGAGATCTAACTCAGATGATGCCGTTTTTGAGACGTTCTGTCAACACTGCATGCATAATTAACAAAAAAGCTAAATAAACATGCCGCTATCATTTAGACCCATGTCTGGCCCTCAGATTCCCTTCAGGTTTGAATTTGAATCTGCAACTAGTTTTCAATTCATTTTCATCTCTTATTTATAAGTAGAAAATGAGATGCATAAGGTGACTCAAAAGCCTATGGGATAGTAGTGTGTTGAAAAAAAATATCAATAAAATATCACTCAGCTTCATTCCACTGGACTAGGTTAGCCCAAAGGGAATCTGGTTAGTTTGCCAATAACCAAATCATTGATCTCCTATGGTTACAGTAAACTTAGAGGGTAATTGCCTTAATATATGATCCAAATCAAACAGACCTGGCCAGTCTGATTAGTTTCAAGGGCCTTTAACAATAAGTGGAAAATTATAAATGCAAAGTATTTTGACTGTAGTACTTCCATTCTATCATGCAGATTTCAAATAACTCTGAACTTTGATTTGAAGTCAACGTGAAATGAAAATTGACCTTATTTAATTTCTTACTGGATTGTTTCTTCCTTGCTTACGTTAGGCTTTTGGTTTTTAAATTGTTAACCAATAGCCAAATAGCCGTTTAGGCAAACTAACCAAACTGTTTTAGCAAACTAGGTCTGGCTCCATTCTAGTTTGTACATCTTTTCTTATCGAATTCACCAATTCATGCTGACTTTAAGGAGGCTAACATGCTAGTTTGAGCTAGTTCATGATTATGTTCACTTTCAAGATGGACAAGGCATTTGTTTTTACAAAAACAAACATGCAACTACTGATCTCATATCACAAAAACGTCAAAGATGTCTTCAACACCACTGGACCTCATGCATTCAGATAAAAACATGTAGAAACTCCCAGTTTGCTCAATAGATACCCCTAACCACACTTTTCACCTCAGTTTTTTATTATTTATATGTTTTTATTTAGATTTATAAATATATATTTTATATATATTAACTCAAATTATATATACGTATATATGCAAGATGCAAAAGCCTCTAAAAGCCATCTTGGTCAAAAATGAGATAATGATACTGAGTGAATGCTCTCCACACACAGCATATGTTCATCAAGTACTTTCACTTCAAATGTGCTAAAACCCAGCCTCAACCCATTCAGAAGTACCAGTACTTGCATAGAAACCTATACATAGTAGTCAGAAAGAAATGCTAATTTTAACGAAAAACATCAGACGTACTTAGAGGTTTTTGCATCTGAACTCTTCATATATATATGTGTGTGTGTGTGTGTGTGTGTGTGTGTGTGTGTGTGTTTATTTCAAATATGTACAATATTAAAAACATTAGATTTTACATCTTTTATTTGCTATTTTTAATACATTTTCAACTCAAAAATACCCCTACACAGTTGCATTACAGAACAGTAATGCTGATATTTTCATGCTTTTGAAATCAAAATAAATATTATTTTCATAATAATAAGAACAATATGTTGTAAGTAACATATTTTCTCACTAAATATCCCGTTTCACTCAGAAATATCATATTACAGTGCAAAATGGGTTGCTAATGGGAGGCTAATGAGCTAGTTTGAGTGATTCAGGTGCATGCTTAGAGATCATATGCGCTTGCATTACTATTTAAAGTAATGATTTCTGTATTTTAAAACAGGTCAGCTTTCCCGAAATAAGAGTGTTATTATTTCACGCTCCTCCTGTTCCTGTACTTTAAAGTGCATATGTACAGCAACTCTCCCTCACTGTCACATTTTTTCAACACGTTGACAAAAAGTTTGACGCTTTCATGGGTCATCAAAACCTGCCTCCACTCGACAGAGGAGAACTGATATTTATCAACGTACGACCATCTATTAGGCGCAAAATCACTGCACATATGAGTCCTTTACTAGAGGACGTTCTGTCCTCGGTTCGCAGTGATCTTCCTGTCCCACTGGGTGTCCCTGCCATATAGTGATGAATAAGCCCTGGGATAATGAGAGGACATACAATGTAGGGCAGGCAGACGCCGCTGCTGCAGGTATGGGGGCTGCTGGGGGCCCTGGGGCCGCGGTTCTCCAGTGAGTACTGGTGAGGCAGACTCCTCTCCTCTGACTGCTCATGATGCATTGAGCTCTAGTTCGCTACTGTACTACACAGAGAAGAGAACGTGAGTGCTCTCATTTATTATGGACGAGCAAATTAGTGCCATGATGCATGCATTAAACGCCCTGACAGTGGCATTACCTTGTGCATGAGAAAGAAGGAGAGACGGAAAGACTATGACAGCGAGAGAACATCATGCATGTATCACACACACAGGAGTCGAGAGTTAACCGTTACACAACTGCATTAATAGCTCTTTAATGTGACTCTTGGTCTCCCAATCGTATTGTATAACAAATAAATGCGCTTTCAAAATCAACAGAAACTGAAGCGAACGTACCCTTTTCACCTTCTGTTTATTTTCGCTCCAAACAAGTGCATTGGAATTCCAGAGGCCGATTTTTCCCCAGTACACGGGTCTTGTGAAGTGAGACTCAAAGGATCTGTGACATTGGGTCTTTGACAGCTTCTTTCTATTGGTTTCTTTTGTCTTTTTTTCAGGTGTGGTGAGCTATAAGATGGATAGCCGAGGATGGCATGGAAACATCATTATGTGTAACCTTTGGTTGACTCGGACATTTAAAAAAAGAAAGAAGGGGGAAAAAAGGGGAAGCGGAGCTCCAGACATATAAAAACTTTATATTTTTATAAAAACTAGATTTTTTAATTTATTACTTTTTTAGTTTTTATCTGATAAAAATGGCTTAGTCCTCAAGCTTCCCTATAGCACTTTTTTTTTATATGACTCGTTATAACATATTTACTTTTTTACACATAGAACAATGTGTTCAGTGTACATGGAAGATATACGGTATATACACAACTTACATTGCATTCAAGATATATATTTTAGCAGTCCAGTAGCAGCAGCTGTGGTAACTGGTATTTTGGTGGAAACTATGGTTTCCATGGTCCATTTTTGTAAGGCTTGGTGTAATTCGAGTTTACTGGTATAAATGTACTCGCAAAATACCAGTTTCCACAGTTATTGCTTGCACTGAACTGATAAAATGTATACAAATGGCTATGGATAAAAATGTCTGCCAAATGCATAAATGTATTTTTTCTATATATATATATATATATATATATATATATATATATATATATATATATATATATACTGTATATATATTTGTAGCATATTGACAGTTCAAGTTATCTGTTTGGTAAATGTTTAATAGTGCACAAAACCTATTCCATTAAACCATTTGCTTCCAAAACACATTTAAAACCATTTTAAAGAGTATTCATATAGGAAAAAGTACACATAAAAAAGAAGACTGTGTGTGTGTGTGTGTGTGTGTGTGTGTGTGTGTGTATGTTCTGACATTTACTAATGTTCTCATTAAGTTATGAAAACACAATTTCTGAATGTTCTCTGAACCTTCAAAACGTCCAAACTTTTATTTTATTTATTTATTTATTTTCATGCAAACATTCCATTTTATCATTTTCAAACTTTATGGGAATGCTACTTTTGAATGTTCTCTAAATATTCTGAAACAAGTAGTAACATTTAAAGTTAGTCAAATGTCCAACTAAAACGTTTGAGGTATATAATAATGCTTTTATGCCAATGTTTTGAGAACATTATGAAAGACCAGATAACTTTGAATAAACATTCTATTAACATTAAACCTTGTCAGAAGGTTAGCCAAATAAGAAATTTACATTTTAGACTTGATTTTGGTATTCATGTAGCCAGACTTTTGATTTTTTTGCGTGTTGTTTATCCACAAGAATAGACTGGAAAACAGCAAAAAGGATGATAAGGGAATGCATGAACTGACAAAATTATAGTATACCTTCGATGGCTAAAAACATATGCCAAATAGTGCAATATGGATCAGATGGTCAGTGAAGTGGGTGGTCTGTCTGAAGCTGAGACTAGTATTTTGGTAGAAACTATGGTTATCATGGTACATTTATTATCACCAGAGTAGAAGGTTTGTTCTTGGATGTGCTCAAAAAGTGGGAATGTTTTGGAGTGTGGTGTAAGTGAGAATGTATGATCACATGTGATAAGCCAACAGCATGACTTCAGTTAAACACCCACCCAGCTCTTTCTCCAAGTTCTAGTGTCATTTCTCTCTCTACCTCTCACTCCACTCATTATACCGGCTCTGTTTAAATAATGGGGACATCTCTACAGAAACACACTTAGGGTTCTTGCCGCTAGCACTATCAGCAGGGTACACGCACCGCTGCAGAGGATTCTGGATGGTGGAATCTACACAATCTGACAGCGAATGGGAGTCAGCATGTATTCGCTCTGGCAAGTCATATTTCCTCTTTCGGGAA